TGTCATATTTAGTTGTGTAGTTATACTACACCATTCTAGTGTATTGTCATATTTAGTTGTGTGGTTATACTACACCATTCTAGTGTATTGTCATATTTAGTTGTGTGGTTATACTACACCATTCTAGTGTATTGTCATATTTAGCTGTGTAGTTATACTACACCATTCTAGTGTATTGTCATATTTAGCTGTGTGGTTATACTACACCATTCTAGTGTACTGTCATATTTAGCTGTGTGGTTATACTACACTATTTCAATGTATTATCATAGTTAGCACTGCACTATTTCAAGTTTTACTTACTTGCTCATCAGAGATAACTTGAATTTCATGTGCAGCCTTTTCAGTACCTTCCTTGGTTCCACTGATTCTAATGATGTCAGAGTTATCCTCAGGTCTTGGAACAGTAATTTTAGTAGCTGTACTCAGCTCCAAGTCAGACAGTTTTTTGCCATTTTTTCCCAAAATGAAGCGATGATGTTCTTTTGGAATGGATATACTTACAACAGCCTACAAGAATATCTTAAATCATATAATTTGTTTCGTCACATCTATGAAAAGTATCTCTTACATGTGATAAGATAGAATCTTTCCCTTTTACTTCTTACCTGGAGAAATAACAGTAACTACAAATAATATTAGTAGTAACACTTTGAATTTTTGACCTGGAGATCTTAGGTTCATATACAAATTGACCCTTATGAGGATTAGAATGACAACTTCAGAAAACGAGTTTTACTTATCTCCACCAGTAGTCATATTATAAGATTGTAACAACTTGTTTTATCTATTTTTGTATTTGTTAATTTCTTTTGAAGAACAACTAGTTTCCCCCAAGTGGTTGCCGATGGGGAATAGTAGCTTTAAATACTGAATGTTATTAGCGTAAGTACCCATCTCTGATCTTCAAGCATTTTGTTTTACTTTTGCATGTGAAGCTTGTGACTAAAGGTCACATTTGACAGTGTATTCTACTGATATGTGGATCCTACTTCTACAGGTCTTAGTATATTTTACTCTTCCCACATTTTAGTTAAAATCTAATTTTTTTTGGTTTGTTTTTATTTTGTTGTTTATGTGCGACACTTTGTTTTTAGTCTTGTTGTCTCTTTATGGTCCAAATCTGTAAGACACTGTAGTTTATGTTAACCAAAAATACAAAAGAATTGTAAGTTTAAAAATTTGAAAATTATTGATAAATATTTTAAGATATCATCTAAAGTACAGAAATATTGCTGTTTCATTATCTTTCCTTCAGACATGAAAATGAGTATAAATGTTGAATAATCTTTATAAGTTATGCACGTACCATACTAAGCAATTTCCAAAGGCTGGATTGGATGAGCCGATATATTTGTGTTAAGACTTTCTGAAGTAGATATTTCTTAATATTTTGTAGTAAAAACAAAAATTAAAGCATTTCAAGATGCAATAAGTCACATGTTGCTCTAATGCACATGTCGGTGTTCTTCCACGCCATTGAAAATTCACTGGAATGCTCAGTTTCATCTACAGACGATATATTAGTGGGACAGTTATTTGGATTTACCTAAGAACATTATGCACACAACTTATTCCAAGATAAAATGTGGTACACTAAGACACGGCTCATATTACAAACTCATTGGCTATTGCACAAGTGTCTTCAGAAAGCGTATAAATTCTTCAGATCATATGTTTCATAATGACATTATTAAGTACAGTTTCCAAATAATTCACAAGCCAAAAACCACCTTATTGAATTCCTAAGCAAAAACCAACCATTCAAAATATTGTTTACGATATATTATGCGCATATATTCTAATAATATGCTAAAAAGGTCGTTAACATTTCTGATATAACAATTCAACAAATTGTAAACAGCAACTTGACTAGTCTGTGGATATCAGCTTTTGATATTCCTATAAATATATACAGATTTTGTACATACTTAAATATCTTTTAAACCCAACTCAACCAAACAGATGGCACTACATATTAAAGAAATCACTTGGCTTTGAAGCAAAAAACATGTCGATGCCCTCTTTAACACCTTCCACATTTGCATACGTTTTTCCATTAAGATGGTGTTGCAGCGAACGAAAAAGATCGTAATCTGATGGTGCCATATCTGGAGGATATGGTGGGTGGGGGAGAACTTCCAACCCAACTCCATAATCTTGTGTTGTGTCAAACGTGCCACATGTGGACATGCATTGTTGTGAAGAAGAAGAACACCTTTCCGATTGACAAGTGAAGAGCGTTTCTGATGAAGGGCTTGATTTAAAGTT